ACACACCATCCAGTCTACACCATCGTCGCGGTCCTATACAAATGACCTTTAATCGTGAGACAAATGAATAAGAATCATAAATTATCTCAGCAATGTAAAACTATTGTTACAAAGTCCTAATTTGCGGAACATTTAGTCCAAAGGGGCAGTTGCAATAGACCGCGAGCGAGACCTGTAAAATTCTTATGATACGAGTTCAAGGTTTCACTTTCCTGCTAGCAGAGTCTCGAGCAAACAGTGATTCTTCGTGATAGTATTTCTGGCTATCTGGTTTCACAACAAACCGGTCAAGTTCACTCAAAGCCCAGTTTTCATGACTTTGAACCACTCTTTTAACTAGCTAGAAGCGGCTTTTTTCAATAAAATTGGAACCCTTTCCTTGTGCTATCTAGGTGTTGTCGCCCGAAAATCAGTAGAATTTCCAGGTGACTCACCCGCAGTTCTAAGAGAGACCTACGTTTTTATCAAAAAAATGCACTATTCTGATAGTTTTTGCAATAAGCAAGGCAATAAGCCTGATGCGAGATGACGTTTTACCCCCGACTCTATACCATAATAGTTTTTAAAATTCTTTCATATTAAAATTTTTGATTCCTTAGAGAATACAGGAACAATAGTCATAATTAAAGAACAAAAGCAGCGTGAAAAGGATTATGGTCYAGAGACGGGGGTAAAACGTCATCTCGCTTCAGGCTTATTGCCTTGCTATTATGATAAGCCTGAAGCGAGATGATGTTTTACCCCCGTTTCTAGACCTTTTCACACTGCTTTTGTTCTTTAATTATGACTATTGTTSCTGTATTCTCTAAGGAATCAAAAATTTTAATATGAAAGAATTTTAAAAACTATTATGGTATTTTGTTAACGCAAAAGCCCTCAAATTATCCCGAAGATGGTAGAAACGTACATTTCGGCTTGCGATTTTCCACTRAGTATCTTGAAGTTCAATGGGGTCCCATGTCCTAACATTAGGCTCTTCAAACTGACTCGTCTTATCTACTCGGGAAATTGAGCAGCGCGGAACGATTACTGAAGAAATCTTTGAGCTCTATAGTCACAAATTTCTTAACTGATTTAGAGCATACAATGGGAAAGAATTTTCAGGAGATTGAAATTCTTTTCTTTTGTCCTCCAAATTGAGCTGCTTTGACGTCACATGCCATGTGTCTATGGTCCACTAGCACTTTCAATGTGGAATTAATTTGAAATAAATGTGAATGAGAATCAGAAATAAATCGGACGAAACAGAAAATCCCGTTAAAAATTTTATTAAAAACTATTAAGCAATCAATAGCAAAAAGTACGAAAAGCACGAAAATCACGTGAAATCAACGGTGAAAATCGGTATAGATTACCGTTTCTGAACTATCAGTATCCCTTACCTGACATAGTAGTATTCCTTACCTGAACTAGGAGTATTCCTTACCTGGACTAGGAGTATCCCTTACTTGGACTTGGAGTATCCCTTACCTGGACTAGGAGTATCCCTTATACCTGAACTGAGAGTATCTCTTATACATGAAAATAAATGTTTTCACTTTCAAAATGTTCATACATGAAAATAATAAGGAAATCAGTATTTTCAGCCATAACAGCTTTGGTTCGTTGTTGTGCACGGTCAGTATCACGTGATGGTACGGTTCAACCATTCAACTCCGTTAACTATGCTAAGCCTCGATCATTCCTTAAATAGCGTCAGATAAAGGGTTTGGACTTTAAAGTATTTGGAAAAAGATACACATGAAACAATGACTGTAATAGAGGTGTTTTTAACCACCGCGTGATAACAGCCATGTTAGATGGCAGGACCAAAACAATCGTATTACATGAGAAAAAATTCATGTACAGTCATTATTTGATTTGTTCCTTTTTGCAAATTATTAAGTGTAGTTGCGATGGCCGAGTGGTTAAGTCGTTGGACTTGAAATCCAATGGGATTTTCCCGCGCAGGTTTGAACCCTGCTCGYAACGAGGGTTTACCTTTTTTAACTTTAAAGGAATTTCATTTTAAAGATGGTTTGCAATCATTTCCAAGAGAATGAAATAATAAAAGACACGGCGGACAGGTTGGATAAAATAAAAACGAAACTTAGACAAATATTTTGTTCGACTAAAGCAAAATGGCGGTTTTCACAAGGTTAATTCGTGTTCGACGACATGATTGCTGTCCGCCTAAACTTGCTTCGTTGTGACGTAACATGGAAGAATAAATTTCTTTTTTCGGAGCCGGCCGAGCTCGCCCGAGCAGATGAGGTTTATAGCGATCGAAATATGTTTTGCTTGTCACTAACAAAGGTTTTAGTACRTGGCTTGGTGCCAAGTTCATTTTATTCTTTTCTCCTGCCATGAATCACTATGCATTCCCGAATTCTTAATGACTACGAAATAATGGATTCAAGTTGAGGTTAGACTTTTTTGTTTGTTTTGAGGGTCACTGGTAGCCTCCTCCGCAGGCTACGCCATATAATCTGTATTCTCTGTTGGGATCCCTGTGTTAAATCTTATGGCACAGGAAACCCAAGGAGCAAAAAGAGAAAATGAGATGCCTGCGGAGGAGGCTAGGTCACTGGGTTATTTGTACGATTTTTATTTCAAATTAGTCATTCTGAGGTTGAGGAAAAAACTGGGTTGGCATCATAGTACATCGTGGTGATGTTTTATAGGGAAATATTTCCAAGATTTCGTCTCATACAACAGCCCCAAAATGCACTGCATTGCCAACTAGACCTAGTTTCTTTCTCAACCTCGAAATGCCTAATTTTATGCATGTGTCCACTAAACAAATGATACTAATTTTTTTGGACTTATACAGTTRAGGCATGAATAATCATGTCGATCAAGCTTTGACTTGGAGTCACAATTTCGTGGTCAATCAAGTGAAATCGAAAAATATCTATTGTGCCAGTTAAATGAGGCTAAATGTAATTTAGGCAAAGTTAAAACCACGACTGAGCCTGCGGTTCAATACTTCAGGGGCATGTCCTCTCAACGCATGCGCCTTTGCTCGGGGAGCATTTGCTGCTAGGTAGTTAGTACGCCATCTTTGCAACGATCGAATTTGTTAAGTTGGCCCTCCCTCCCTCCCTCCTCTGGTAAAGGTAAGTATGCCCCAGATAGGTAGGTATCACTTCCACTGTTTCACAGTGTGACAGGTACCAGCGTTGGGCTGTGGCCCGGTTGCCATAGTTACCTCCTTGCTCGGGGTTTTCTCACGAAACCGGATCCCACGTTGGTACCTAGCCCAAACTCATCAGTCGATGAGTTTTAATGGACTATATTTAGTTTGTAATGGGGTAAATGGAATTTTTTTTCCCCATTGCGAGCAGGGCCGGGTTGTTCAAAGCTGGTTTAGCGCTAATCCAGGATTAACTCTATAGGCCTTATTAAGAGTTAACCCAGGATTACCACTAATCGAGCTTTGAACAACTGGGCCCAGGGTTCGAAACCAGTTGTATTACGTGCCCAACCGTTATTTTTTAAGAGTCTGGTTTAGGAAATACAGATCTCAGATAAAATTTTGCTTATCTATTAAATTTCAGGCTTTATTCATTATTGGCAATAGAGGCTTTGCACCATCACTTGATGGCAGCCATGACAGGATACAGAAACAATTGAAGGTGGTCTAATCTGATTTACATGAGAAATAATTCAGTTTCCCGGGGGAAGACACATTGTTGCACCTCCTGTCATGGCTGCCATCATATGATGGTGCAAAGCCTCTATAGGACGTTTGTATGTTGGCGTCATTTGACTCCCAATACCATATTGCAATTGGTGCTAAGAAACGGAACAAAAGAAAGTGTGCAAGGGAGTCTGGTAGTAGAGGTCATTGACGCCATCATTCAAACGTTCTATTATATTTATAATAGTACAAGATAAAAAAAAAAAAAACGTCTGCGTTTCACTGCATCGCCGACTTGACCTAGTTTTTTCCTCAACATTGGAAAAAGGTAATATTGCCAAAACCGTACTTAGATTGAAAGGAATCAAATGGGACCCCTCCCTCGCAACCACTAATAAGGGGGATCATAAACGAATAACGCCTCTTGGGGGGATCAGGTAATCAATCAATCAATCATGAGAATATGTAGACCGCGTAGCACTTATGAAATACATGAAGATATAGAAATATAGATAAGTTATAGTGCTTGGGAACAAGGTTATTATCTATATTTCTATATCTTCATGTATTTCATAAGTGCTACGCGGACCACATATTCTCATCTTTGCATCATAGTTACCGCGACCTAATATGTATTTTACCCCGACCTGTTCTCAGTCTCACCTCTAGCTCAGCTGGTAGAGCATCGGTAGTACAATTCCGAAGATCCTGGGTTCGATTCCCAGCGAGGTCGGAAATTAATTTTTCCGAATTCAATTCCATGGGTTTTTCGCCCGGAATAACCTCGTTCCCAAGCACTATGACTTATCTATATTTCTATATAATCAATCAATCAGWTTATTCAATCTACCATTCTGGAAATATAGTAATAAGTATTTAAAATATTGACAGGAATGAAAGAATCCCAGTTTAATTGCAGTTTAATGTTTCGTAGTTTTTCCTATTTGTCATACTTACTAAGTTATTTATCTATTTAATATATTTGTCTAGTCTTTACCGTACGCTTTGCGTATGTGCATGGAATAAAATCAAGTATGGGACAAGCAKTGCCAACAGTCACCACTAATAAGGGGGATCATAAARAAATATGGTCCCTCTTTGGGGATTAGGTAA